ATGTGTCCTTCATTATAAGGGTAAGGCATGACATCTTGAAATCTTATTTTAGGTATTGGAATTATCTAGAAATATTGATTTGTTGTTTTTATGGCTTTAGTATTGACAGATTGGATTTAAATATTAAGAATCCTAATTTGTTTTCTACAAGCAGTCTATGGTATTTTGGTAATTCAATAAAAAAGAAAACAGTTGACAGACTAATTTTTTTACTACAGTCAATTTGCCAACAAAACAATAATGGCATTTTTGCTGTCAATACACTTTTCAAAATGGGATTCTAGCTCATGTTATTTTACATTATAGAAGAGTAGTCACAAAGTATAGAAGAGTTATTGAGGTTGTAGGAAAGTATGTCAGTGCAGTGTTTTATGTTCTCTTTGAATCTGTGGATTTGCACTTCAAACTATACTTAATTTGTCTAATACATAAAATGAACTTGGGAAAAGGAAAAAATTATAAATGTATTTTGACTAACACAGTTTTATAGTGAATAACGATGTGATTATGGAAGGTTAACTCAAGTATATTTATAATAATGATTTTTAATAAAACAATTTTTTTCATAATCCAACAGTTACCAGCTGTTGTATATCCGCTGCATTCTTTATGAATAAGTGCTATATTTAAATACTATTTATTTGGTATGCCAATTAAGACTCTCTATCAGTATGTGTACCTGTTTATGATTATGTAGTATATTAATTAAAAATATGAAATCTGAGTGCATTATCCTAACTAGATAGCTCTAATTTCTGAAACTTTAAATCCTACTGTCTTTTAGGATGGTTTTGCAAGATTAAAGCTGGATGACGATAAATTGCCAATAATAGGTAAAATATAGCTTTAAAAGACTAATAATTTTTTGTTATAACATTGAAAAGTAGCTACATTTTATGTGTTGACAAAGTTTTAGGTACATTTTTAGCTGCAGTTGTTGAGATTTGTGGATATGCAGTGAATGTAATTGAAGGCATGAAGAGATTTATGGGCAGAACAGAAAGGATTGAATTTCTTTAAATTATGGAAAAAGGCCATTATGCTGCTCTATACTAATATATATGAACTCTATGAATAGAAATAAAAGGTTATTACCTTTCTTTAAGTGATATTTTGCCAATAAGTATATGAACATTGTTATGCTTTGCTGAGAAAAGATATTTTTGTGTGCAAGAAGTCTCCTTTGTCTATCTGAGTTGGGAAGTGCTGCAACTCCAAAACAATTGAAAAGGAAATGTAATCCTATGTACAAGGTCTCTGGCTTTCATTCCCACAGGGTATCAATGGGATTAAGACTTTGATGGGATTTCATAAAGGATTAAATACTTAGGTCCTTTTGGGACTCTGAAAAATGTTAAGTTTCTAAATTTTTAGGAGGTAAGACTAAAGAAATTTTCTAAGCAGCATATGGTACAGGCTGTTGTTAGAGACTAGCCAGTGGAGCATGTATAATTGATTTGCTTTTGGTGTAGTTTTTGTGTTCCTGGAGGAAACTGACTTTACAGCCCATGAAAATACTGTATTTTGAACAGAGCCTTCAAAAGACAACAAGGGAGGAGAGGATGACCGTAGTGCTGCAGCACGGAACCAGGTTGTCATATCTCTGAACCATCAGGAATGGAAGGTATAATAGATAGCACTTCATATTTTTGACTTTTTTTTTTTTTTTTTTTTTTTTTTTTTGTAAAAATGCCTCTGGGGGCTGTGCTGCTTT